CCATGCACATTGGCAACCTCCAAACCAGCCCTAGGCGACGAGAAAACGCTACTTCTCTCAACCTTCTTAAGCTCACGGAGACTAAAAAACACATGAATCGATAACCCTGAAATTCTCTTGGAATTCTCTTCAATATGTTCCCTCGTGAGTGCATCGATAGAGTTTTCAAACGCTGCAATTTTGTCTGTGAAGTTTTGAAACACCATTCCACTTTAAATTTGTTGCAAAAAGCTACTTTGCGCAGAAGAACGCAAGAGCTTTCTACACGTTGAAAGAAAATTATGGATGGCGTTTTGTTTTTCAAATTTTTGCTCCCATTAACAAGAAACTTCTTTTCATACAGGTATCTACCTTTCTTGTTTACTCTACATGGACAGTCGATAGTTACTGTTTGTGTCAGCATGGAAAGCAAAAGTAAAAGATATTTGACTTTAAAATCATTTATATAGATTTAAATTCAAGTTAAATAAGAGAATCGAAAACCTTGAAGTAGGGCTGAAATGATCAAAACGCTAACACTAAAATTCTTATTTTTAACACTACATCCCACGACAACCTGGAACACAGACAAAAACGTTATCATAGGCAAACAACGATTCTTCTAGAAAGCAAAACCTGAAGGTCGTCTGTGGAAACACCGATTTGGTCAGAAAAGTAGTAAGGCTCTCGCGGATAATCCATTTCTTCAGAAAAAAAGATGAACTACTTGTGGAACGAAAACGTGAACCTCTAGTGGAGAAACAGCGATTTCTTCAGGAAAAAACATCCAGATCTTCTTTAGAAGCACCGATTTCTTCAGGGAGACATGAAGTTCGTAAGGGGAAACAGCGATTTCTTCAGAAATAAATTAAAGTTCTTGCCAAGAATCACCATATTTCTCTAGGAAAACACGTGAGCCTCTTGTGGATAAACACCGACTTCTTCTGAATAAAACTTGAAGTTCTTGTGGGTAAACACGGATTTCATCAGGAGAGAACATGAAGTTCCTGTGGAGAAACACGGATTTCTTTAGGAAAATAAGTGAACCTCTTATGGGAAAACAGCGACTTCTGCAGGAAAAAACATGAAGTTTTGATGGTTATTCAACCTTTTTCATCAGGAGAGAACATGATGTTCTCGTAGAGAAACACCGATTTTTGCAGAAAAACGGCGACGTTGTTCTGGAGAGTCAGTGATTCACTCGGGAAAAAGCACGAAGTTCTTGTGCAGAAACAACGATTTCTTCAGGAAAGAACAACAAATTCTTGTAAACAAACAGCGATTTCTGTAGGAAAAAACTTGAAGTCCTTTTGGAGAAACACCCATTTAAAAACCATGAAGTTTGTGGGGAGAACCACCGATCTCTTCAGGGAAAAAGCAAAGTTGTTTCGGAGAATCAATGATTTATTCAGGCGAAAGCAAGAAGTGTTTGTGGGGAAACGCCGATATCTTCAGGAAGAAACATGAAGTTCTCGTGAAGAAACACCGATTTCTTTAGTAAAATACGTGAACTTCCTGTGGAGAAACTGCGATTTCTGCACAAGAGGATCTCAAAAAACGTTAAGTTCTGTTGGAGAATCACCTATTCCATCATTAAAGAACAACATTACAGAATCGATTTTTGCAGAAAACTGCCACCTTGTTGTGGAGAGTCACAGATTTACCCAGAAAAGCGCACGAACTTCTTGTGGCAAAACACCGATTTCATGAAAAAAAAGGGAAAGTCCCTGAGGAGAGACACCGATTTCTTCAGAAATAGACTGAAGCTGTTCTGGAGAAACACCCATTCCTTCATGAAAAAACAAAATGTTCTTCTGCGGAAACACCGATTTCTCCCGGAAAAAAGGAAAGTTCTTGTGGAGAATCACCAATTTCATCAGGAAAATACATGAAGTTCTTGTAAAGAAACACCGATTTCTGCAGGAAAAAACGTGAGGTTCTGCTGGACAAACACCGTTTATTGCAGGAAGAAACGCGTCGTTCTTCTGGACAGTCACTGATTTATTCAGGAAAAAGCACGAAGTTCTTGTGGACAAACAACAACTTCTGTAGGAAAAAACGTGATGTTATTGTGGAGAAGCACGGATTTCTTCGGGAAAAACCATGAAGTTCGTAACGTTATATCACGAAGTAACCATAAGTCGCTCGAATACAATATAGAGACATGTTGCCAGGTGCTAGCTTACTTTTCACTGGTAGAAAGCGTGAAAAAATCAGAAGTCCGACATGGTTAAAAGTGGAAAAAGTCGAAATTTTGGAAAATTTGCGCGCTCTCGCCGCTCACAGAAGACGTTTTTATAAAATCACAACTGCCAGAGAATCTAAGTACAAAGCTACGGTTGCCTAAATAATCAATTTCACCAAAACATCTTGCCTTTGAAGCAATAAATAAGAGCCAGATTTTAGGAAATAATGTCTCTTATCTCGGTAATGGAAAAGACCTAAGCCGAGATATTTTCGAATTAGTTATGTCCTTATACTAATAAGTAACTTGCAAAAAAGATTTTTCTTCAACTCGTCTGCAAAGAATCTCCAGCCAAATCTATTTCGACTCGACATGTATATAAATCGCATTCTAATGATAAAAGATTCTCATTAGCGTTATCGTTGTGACTGATTTTTTCACGATTTCTACCAATGAAAAGTAAGCTCGCGCCTGGCAACATGTCTCTATATTGTACTCCTGTAGCTACTTATGGTTACTTCGCGATATAACGTTACTACAACGAACTTCATGTGTTTTCCTGAAGAAAAGGGTGTTTCACCACAAGAATTTCGTGCTTTTTCCGGAAGAACTCGGTGTGTCTCCAGAAGATCTTTATGTTTTTTCCCGAAGAAATCCATGTTGCTCCACAAGAAGTTCACGTTTCTTCCTACAGATGTCGTTGTTTGTCCACAAGAACTTCATGTATTTTCATGATGAAATTGGTGATTCTCCACAAGAACTTTCTTTTTTTCCGGGAGAAATCGGTGTTTCCGCAGAAGAACATTTTGTTTTTTCATGAAGGAATGGGTGTTTCTCCAGAACAGCTTCAGTCTATTTCTGAAGAAGTCGGTGTTTCTCCTCAAGAACTTCACGTTTTTTCCCGCTGAAATCTGTGACTCTCCGCAGGAACTTTACCTTTTTTTCATGAAATCGGTATTTAGCCACAAGAAGTTCGTGCGCTTTTTTGAGTAAATCTGTGACTCTCGTTGCCGTTTTCTGCAAAAATCGGTTCTCCAATGTTGTTGTATTCCGTTAATATAGTGTATGAGTCCTGTACAGAGAATAGGATCTTATGATATGCAATCAATCTCGAATATATCAGCCTTAAACTGAATCCGGCTGATAAACTTTCTTTTAATTAAGTTTTCAAAGTTTTCAAAAAATTGAAGAATTTAGTCCAACTTGAACTACCGAAAAGTACAACGTCCATGATTCAACCCTTGGACGTGGGCAGAAAAAATCATGCCCTGCTTTCGACGAGTAACACTCGGCATCATCAGGAGAACGAACGACGCTGAACATAGAAACTACACCTAGGTACATATAAATATAAAAAATAAGAAGCGGGGAAAATAACAGATATTTTCGAAAATATCTGTACGGATACTCTGGTCATCTTACCCGCAGAGGAATCCGTGAAGGGAAAGTAGTAGGGAAGAAAATACTACACCGACAACCATCAAACAATAACGATAAAGAAAAACCGAAAACAAATATTTTCTTTGTACTCTCGAACTATGGTCATGAATCAATAATATTTGCCGAACGTATGAAGAAGATCTGCAAGCGACTATTACCTCTCATTCAAGTAAATATCGTGTGTCGCAAGACATTTACGCTGAAAAGTGTATTTCTACCACTGCAGAAAGGACAAGACGAAGATAGAAAAAAGAAAAAACTAATTTATCGTATAGCATGTAAAAACTGTGACAAACACTATTATGGGGAGAGGGGAAGGGAAACGATAGTGCGAATGAAGGAATTTCAAGTAGACATCCGAAAATTTACTCAAACATCGGGAATTGTACAACACATCCTCGAACGATATCATTCCTTCGGCTTTAAAAATGTCGATAGTCTAAGCCTAGAAACAGATTGGCGGAGACGTATCATAAAAGAAAGTTTATTTACACATGAGAGCCATGGTAAATCTCTTAATGAAGTCAAACATAAATTAAAGGTTTTCGGTTAACGTTCAGTATGTCCTTTAGGACTTGCTTTTTCGGCCCAAAAAATGTTCTACGAACAGATATTTTCGAAAATATCTTTTATTTTCCCCGTTTCTCGTTTTTCATGTTTATGTATAAACGTGTAGTTTCTGTGTTCATTGTCATTCGTTTTCCTGATAATGTCGAGTGTTAAGTTGTCGTCGAAAGCTTGATATCGAATTACTGTGGATTTAATTCAAATCTAATCACGTACTTTGTAGCAGTATGGTACTATCTAATTCATTAGCTTTTTTGCACACGCAATGTATCATTGTGCGCTGAGATTTACAGTTACATGTAGCATCGGTCACCCACTCACGAACAATTTACTAGCTTCAATTAACCTTAAATCATTCAATTCAGCAACATTCATAGCTTTCAACTCAGATGGACAAGCTTGGAAGTAGCTATTGAACAAAAATGATTAAATGACTATATATTTTGCCTTGAGAAAAAATTTTGATTTGATTTCTTAATCATTGGATGAAACATAATTACTGTGCCAAACAGCCGCTAGCTCATCGAAAGTAAAAGTGAGTTGATCTGTACTGTTAGTTTAACCGTTGACCAACGTTGAATACAACAATCCATTAGTCCTCATTGATTTAGAACTACCAATTTTGTGATGAGTAGTTGTATTTATGCTGTGTTTCCAAGATCAAAAAAGAATATAATTTTTATTCTAACTAAATGTCTGAACAAGAGGAATAGCTGAAAAAGAATGTAGTCTTCAATCAGTAAACATTCACGCATTTTCGTTTATACTGTTTACATATTGACACTCATAAAAACAAGATAATAATTTTATTTCCACCATACCCACTTAATTAATCAAATTTATTTCCATGTTCATTTAGTTCTTTTTGTAAATCATTCATTGTTTGTGCGTCACTCTTATCCAACTCATAATTACTTTTTGGTAATTTTTCACCAGCTTTCCTTTCTTTACTTTTTAGTCCAAATAGTGACTTAAGAAATTTTCGCTTTGCACCTTTCTCACCTCTAAATATCTCCTTGAGTAAACTTAATTTACTGATATGTTCATCCCGACTACCATCATCACCGATTGCGTCTGTTATATTTGACTCATCATCGGTAGAACTTGTTGATGGTTTTTTAATATTGGATTTTTCTGTACAGCCCAATACATCTAATAATTGCTTTAGTTGTGGATTTGTTGCTGATGCCATGGATGCCATTTTGACATAATTATTTTCACATATACTGTTTTTATCTACATTTCGTGATTCAAGAGCTTTTTGAATAAGCATACCGACAGCAGCACCTACGAAAAGAAAGGAAATAAAACTATACATCTCGTTAGTCTTACTCTCAACACTTACTCAATAAACCAATAACAATCGGATTTCTCAACAGTTCACGTATTTTTGATCGTTCACGTACCATTTCTCCATCACTGTTTGATACACTTTTTGATGATCCACCACTGAGTAGTCTACTAAGAAGACCACGTTCCTAAACAAAACAATGATTAAAACATAATCATGATAAACTATTCACAAAATTTCTGAAGGTACCTCAACGGTTATTACTTTACTATGGGTAGAACCAATTAATAAAGTGATTAATGCTAATAAATTCAAATATTTAGACCACATTGTCATATACAAATGATTTAGTGAATGAATGTCAGCGTTCGTATACTTAGAATTCAAACAACGATTAAACTGTATAGTATAAGTAGAATACGTCGAAGATTTTTTTCTATAGAAAGTTGATAGATATGGACATGGTAAAGCAAATCTGTGAGTGATGATAAACACAGTCTAATTAAAAGAAGAAAAATAGAAAAGGAACAATCTTGTTTGCTTTTCTTTCTGCTGTTTTTTGAATGATATGCACTATACTCATGATTAATATCGATAGTCAACAGTGTGTCATTTCAGACAAACAGTTGTGCCATCAGCAAAACAAATCAAAGAAAAATTCAAGGGTTCTCATTAATTAGACCAATAAACAAACGGTTTAAATTGTATGTTAACAGCAAAGAGGACTACCACAAATTATTAATCTCAGCTAAATAACCTGGGAAATGTTGTGTTAAGATGATTACAGTTTTAAAAACACAATTTATACCAAGCCAGTTTTCATTAGTATTTCGTAATGTGCCCCAAACTATCTCAAAAGACAAAGTGGTAGAGGATGTTAAATCCTCCGTTGCATCAACAACAAACTTTCGTACTTTGGTCAGGAAATATCCCGAAAAAGCGACAGACTACCGTTTCGATATTCCAAATCTAGAGGAATATAAATCAGCATTAAATCAAGGCGCAATAGGTATAGGGAATGTTATACGACAAATAACAGAATATGTACCGGCTAATCGTATACTTTAGTGCACAAAACGTTGGACAATCGATCGTGTTGAACAGTGTTTTAAATGTAAGGTGTTTAGAATATCGTATGCCCGACCAAACACATATGTGGTCGATGACTGCAAAATGCATTCCGTGCGACGAAACACACCTGTCAACCGCTCGAGAATGTCGGATAAATCAAGAGCATCGGAGACAATTGAACGTGGCAGCGAAAGAGGCCATAAAAGAAGGACGATTACAAGCAACTTGTGTGAACAATAGAATCACCGGTCATCCGAAAAAACATTTTTACTTAAATGAAAACAATCCTTGGACGAACAATAAGATTAAGGTTAGTCAACAGAACTCGGATGATTTACTGGGATTTATTCTTAATGAAATGAAAAAATTAAATGATCAAATTGATAATAAAATGAATGATCTAGGAAAAGTAATTATGGATTTTTTACCAGCAGTTACATTACTATTAGAAAGATTGTATCAGTCAAATGGTAAGAAAGAAATTAAACAACAGCAAATAAGTGATTATACAGAAAAATTCAAAATGATCATGCAACCAATAGTAGTGATAACAAAATCCTTCACTGAACGGAACCAACGAAGTCGAGACTTTGGCATCAATATCAGTAACTGTACGGCTGTTATAACCAGTATAGGCAACATTAATAGTATCGAGAACATCTTAGCGCCAGAAATAACAGATCCAGGTGAATCTTTTTGATGGTTCTGGCAAAGTTTTCTGTACCTAGTTCTCTTTTTAACCATGTAAATCAGAGATGCCCGATTACAATTACAAAATGTAAGGCTGAAATACAGCTATTATCATTGAAGGATAACATCGAGTCATTGCACAAGTTCAATCATTGTGCAGAATATAGGAAAGAACAGCGAAGTTGATTTTTGCAGTTCGTCTGCAAAGATCAAGTTCGTGTGTTCGATTTCTAGCTTCGTGCAAGGATTGATTTTGTGTTTTGATAGTTTAAGTTTCAGAATGATATAATGGGAATTTATATTCTCGATTTCGTTCTGGTTCAAGATTAAAGCTTAAACCAAACTACAGCTATTATTCCTAGAATTCTTCTAGGGGTGAGGAGGAGGGTGAATGCAACTTTACATGTATATAAGAATTCTGAGCATGTAAAGGTGAACTTTACATGCACGTAAAGAATTTCAGAGTTTTAAAATTCTGAATTCTAGGAATAATAGCCGTGTTTGAACTTTACATTTTGTAATTGTAATCGCGCAACCCTCATGTAAATCCTGTTAACGAGAAGCAAAGGTAAATGAGCGAATGGGGTTTTAAGGAAGAAGATTATTAAATAGTTGTAGAAGTTCTAACCGAATGGTATACTAATTCTACTATTGAAAGTATTCTGTCTAAATGAAATAAGTGTTACTATAATATAGCCGCAACAATTCATCAAATTCCCTTAAATTTTACCTCTTAATAGTGCACGGGTTATAATATGAGGTTGGAAAGTTTTAGAGCTCATAAACAAGACTGATTCGTGCTTTTGTTTTTACTCGGAAATTGGAGAATGGAAAGATTTTCGAGCGACGGATCACCATATTTTTTATCAAGAAGGAACGAATAAGAACGGGGGAGTATGTTTGGCTTTAGGGAGACACTTTAAAGAATACAGTGTAGTTAATGCAATCCCTAATACAATTATCGTTGATATAATAAGTCTATTATATCAACGATCGTTGATATAATTAAGGATGATAGGTATTTATTGGCCTCAAGGACAAATAAGATATTTGAACGATCTTAAATCCTTAATTACAAAGAATACGATCATTACTCGCGATTTTAATGCATATGTATTGGGATTCGGTAATCCCGAAACTGATAAACCCGGAAGAGTAATGCTAGAGTGGATAGAAGAGAATCACTCTAAATACATAAAGAACACCTTTCATTCTTCGAAAAAGACCGGAACGGAATACTGATCTAACCTTTATCAGTTTTGATGGAGTTAAAGGCGAAACTTTAAACTCGGATCCAGTGACCGAATTGGTATAAGGTAGATAGCATAGTATTTATATCAAATGGCCTTCTTCCAGTTACGGTTTGGAAAGGTTATCAAGCTGTACTGTTACTTTTGCAAGATTTCTGGATCGAACAACAAAAGTTGTTACTACGTTATCATGTATAAAACTAAAAGACGGAATGATTTTTTTTCATCCATGAGTAATGCTCACACGCAAGCACAGCCGATATTCTGGAATTTTTATCACTAATTTACCGTCCTAAATGACTCTAATGAACAAATACTCTCTAATCAAACTGAGGTTACAAATGATCTTTTTCACTACTATAAAGATCAATTTCTACCCAGACCTTCTGGCACATCTAATACCGAATTTAAATTAATATTAGAACAAATAGAGAACTGCAAGAAAACATTTGATAACACAACAGTATTAGAAGTTAGTCGGTTTATTAAAAAATTAAAAGCAAAAATATCCACGGGTGACACGATTTCTATTAAACTACAACCTCAATGGTTTTTTGCTTATTCCTTTCCCTTCTTTTCTGCTATTTTTCCCCTCTATCCTTTTCTACCTAAAACTTACGTTGATCCGTTTAATCGGATATTTAGAGTAGGGATGGGGTTAGTCCATAAATTATCCACTTGTCGAGTCAGAGGATTTATTTGAGCTATGCAAGGAAGATCAGCTGGAGAATTACGTAGTTAGATTCCTTGAAAGGAGACTGAGGCGATGCTATGACTCGGACCGCAATACTTCACTCATCTTTAATGATGTTTTTTATTGAGAACAATACCATCCCACTCAACTATTACGGGTGGGCAACTGTTTCTCGATAATTGCGATATGTACGGTTAAAAATTTAGGTCTAATATGTTCCTTTTCATTCTTCAATTTTTATGCCCTCATTATTTACGTGGAAAATCAGGTATACGTAAAAAGATTTAATTTTCGTTTATTGTAATTTTTGTTATGGTATAGTTGTTAAGTATTCTTACACTTTTTGTAACAATAAACGGAAAGCCAAAAAAAGAAACTTCAAATATCAATTAAACTGTATAGTATAAGTAGAATACGTCGAAGATTTTTTTCTATAGAAAGTTGATAGATATGGACATGGTAAAGCAAATCTGTGAGTGATGATAAACACAGTCTAATTAAAAGAAGAAAAATAGAAAAGGAACAATCTTGTTTGCTTTTCTTTCTGCTGTTTTTTGAATGATATGCACTATACTCATGATTAATATCGATAGTCAACAGTCTGTCATTTCAGACAAACAGTTGTGCCATCAGCAAAACAAACCAAAGAAAAATTCATATAGAAAAATATAGATAAAAGCGATATATGTGAAAATAATTATGTCAAAACGGCATCCATGGCATCGACAATCAATTCACAACTCAAACAATTATTAGATGTATTGGGCTGTACAGAAAAATCCGGTATTAAAAAATCATCAACAACTTCTACCAATGATGAGTCAAACATAACAAGTGCAAAATAATAATTGATGCACCCATGTCTAATTTCATTAATATACAATGAAATTAGACATAGCTGCATCAATTATTATATTGATTCAAAAATGGTTGCCCCCCAAGCAGACAAACATTTGGAAAAACGCGTTTAAACGCTCAAAAGGGAACCGCGATTGTGAGTCAGTAACGCTCATTAAAAAAACGCAAGAAACGCGTTTTTTGCGCAAAATTTTCACTTTCAGAC